AGTATATTATTTTACCTTACTCTACAGTAGGGAAATTGCAATACTTTTGTCCTCATTTCTACACTTGCAAGCAGGGCCTAAAACTAACTTTCACATCTGCCAGTGGCTAATGGCTTGAGAAAATTGACCGAAAATATTTTTCCTTGCCATTAAACTGTTTTTGCACAAAAACGGGCAGTTGCTACTACTACAACAACTAAACATATTTAATAAAAAAAGCCATTTGAAATTAGAACCAACCACTGCATTTTAATCACGACACAAACAAAGATACAAAGATAAAACCTGCATGAAACAAAAACAGACGGGCTGAATGAGAACGCAGATTCACTCTCTGACAGCAGGTGCTGGTTATGGATCAGCAGTGATAAGAGGAAAAAAATGCCATCGAACTTTTGTGAAGTCAGGTCCCTTCAGAAATACATTCATATAAACCCCAACCCCAATATTTATATTTTTCTTGCAGCACATTCAATAACGGAATTCACTGCATTCACTGTGAACGGAGCCGCTCTGAGACGCTGAAAACACCGGATCACGAGCCGATCGCGTGCGCTGCGCAATGTGCGCGCTTCACTTTGAAACAAGCAGCGCAAACAGACTTGATAAGTCATATTACGCTTTCGGTTGTAATTCGTTTGACCAATACTTGCCAAAGCAATGGCGTGAAACACAACGTTAAAGAACTTTTATGTTATAAGTATAAATATATCTTCGGTTTATTATGTATAAATAATAATATTATTATTATTATTAAATAAATAATATTGAACTAAAATATAGAACATTTATTTAACTGAAGAAATAGTTAAGGTGTATGGTCACATCCCAAGTAAGGAATACCTGATGTTAAATACAAGAAAACATATTAATGTTGCCTCTCCATCACTCTCCAGAATAAAATGATACTGTAAATGTCATCGACGTAATAATCAATGCATAATATGCTGTAATGTTTACCAAAAGTTGCTGCAAATAGCTGTAGAGTGAAGCTGTGATGTATGCTATTGAACCACGTGACCACGCGGCGGCGAGATCAAAGAAGCAATGTAGCAACTCTACTGTAACTGAGGCATTGACGTAAGAATCAATGCATAATATGCTGTAACGTTTACCAAAAGTTTCTGCAAATAGCTGTAGAGTGAAGCTGTCATCTATCCTGTTAAACCCATTCAGATGTACTGACAGCGCTGGTTTGTGTGGCTCTATTGAGATCTACTGAACCACGTGATCAACTCTGATTATTACTGGCTCTGGCTTTGCTCACCGTCCTGTCATCTGCAGCAGTTTGTGTGTGTGTGTGTGTCTGTGTCTGTGTCTGTGTGCGTGTGAGAGTGTGCGTGAGAGAGTGTGCGTGAGAGAGTGTGCGTGAGAGAGAGTGCGTGAGAGAGAGTGCGTGTGTGTCTGTGCGTGTGTGTCTGTGCGTGAGTGTGTGTCTGTGCGTGTGTGTCTGTGCGTGAGTGTGTGTCTGTGTGAGTGTGTCTGTGTGAGTGTCTGTGTGTGTGTGTGTGTGTGTGTGTGTGTGTGTGTGTGTGTGTGTGTGTGTGTGTGTGAGTGTGTGTGTGTGTGTCTGTGTGAGTGTGTGTATGTGCTGAAGACGGACACTCCTTTCCATGTGTGAAGAAGTGTTGCAGTAGCACTGTGGTGTCTGTCTGCAGGCATTACAACATGTTCTCACTTTATTTAACCATTTTTGGGAGGAGCAAAGTGTACATATGTGGTTTTACCAGCCATTAACATTTAGCTGAAAGCGTCTTAAACCGCCCCTGAAGTGCTGTGAGTGGATGAGTCAGCCCTGGTGTTTTTGTGATCGGAGAGTTATCCAGTCAGAGGAAGCGGCTCTCCGTGATTAGGCGTGTGGTTTGTCTTCACCTGCTGAAGGTGTAGCGGGTGGAGGAATGTGCTGGTGCTTGTGGAGGTCCTGTGATGCTGCTGATCTGTTGTCTGCTGCTTGTCTCTGTGTTTGTGTGAGTTGTGTAGCAGCTGTCAGTAGATCAACACGGCTCCAGTGTTTTCTGCTGCTATAAATACATCTGTTCAGTATTGTAGGGAATGGAGTTAAGCTGTGGGGGATTTTACAAAGCTCTTTCTTCTGTTTGTCCTTTTAATGGATGTCAATTAATCTGATCCTGTCCAGATAATCTTAATGTCATTCGAAGTGGCTGATGTTATTCCTCGGTTTTCTTTCTTCTGCTTTCTATTAAACCAGTGAGATTCAAGCGGTCTGTTTGTGACATGTTACATAAAGCGAACACTAGTAAAGTCGTGTTAAAGTCGTCATACTTTCAGATCGAAGCGTTTTCCTATTGAAGTTACACACAGGAAGGTACTGTACAGCAAATCCATGACTGGATGGAAAGTGTTTTATTGGCTGCTGGCAGTGAGTTTGAGCAAATATTGA